CCTGAGATCCCTCCTCCTCCTCCTCCTCCTCCTGCCTCCTGCCTCCTCCTCCTCCTACTCCTGCCTCCTTCCTCCTCCTCTTCCCCTCCTCCTCCTCCTCCTCCTCCTCCTCCTCCCCTCCTCCTCCTGTCTCTTCCTCCTCCTCCTCCCAGGACCCGTTTCCCACAGGACCCTTGCCTTCCCCCATGCCAGCGGCAGATGTACGCCAGGTCGTCTGGCCGGCCAGGGAGAGCTCGACGTGCCAGGGCCCCAGCTTCGCAACGCCGCGGGACGCGCCGAGCGTTCCACTGCTCGCAGAGTGCCTGCTCCAGATTTCGTAATAAAGGGAGGGGGGTCTCATTTCGGGGGGGGGGTCTCTTCCGGGCTATCTTGGAGGGCCTGGGGGGGTCTGGGGACGATGTTTTGGAGGGTTCTCCCACGGGGGGGGGTCTAAAACTTTTCGTCTGGGAGGGTTGAGACCCCCTCCCTTTTATTACGAAATCTGGAGTACTCGCAAACGTCCGAAAAACAGATGCCGGCTTTGATGGAACTTATCGTAGATCCCCCGCGGCGTATCCAGGCCATTTGCGAGTGGTCTCTCTGCGAGCAGTGGAACGCGCTCGTCTAGGGACGCTGGAGCGGCTGTGCACCGAGCTCCCTCGCCGAGCTCCAGTGGCTCCCTGGCCGACCAGAGGCGACGTGGCGTGTGCACGGTTTGGATGCGCCGAGCCTCTCTCCGAGGTGCGGGGGCCTGGCGCTGTGCTGCCTCCGCTTGGGGCTCCCCCTGTCCAGCCAGGACACGAGGGAGGAAGCAAGCTACACCCGCGGGCCAAGGGTGAAATCCGAGATGCCGTGTCGATTGAGTTTCGAGGCTCGGATCTGCAAGGAGCCCTCCACCCTGTCCGGCCAGGACACGAGGAAGGAGCCAAATTACACCCGAGCATTTTCTTTGGGTGGAGGGCCAAGGGAGAGATCTGAAATGCCATGTCGATTGATTTTCGAGGTTCGGATTTTCAAGAGGCGAATCGCTGGACGGATTGGTCTTCGAGGTGCAAGAGCCCATCTGGATTTCGCCCTGAGCCCTCCACCCTAAGATTAAGTCGGGCCTGTCTCTCTTCAGGAGGAATATCCAAAAATAGTCAAACAATAGTACGGGGACGATTTCTGGACTAACGTTGCCAATTTGGGGATATTTTTTGACTATTCGTTTTCTGTTCTGTCAAAATCCCCCTGTAGGGACACAGGCCCGACTTTAACCCTAAGAGAATGCTCAGTACACGAGCATCACCCTTTGGAGGCCCCGGGGGACTGCCTGGATCGGCGCTGGACCACGCCCCCTCACCTCTCCGGCGTGCTGCAAAGGGGCGGGGGGCGCCGCCAGGGGGGATGCCCGGCGCTCCCCTGCTACCTGCGCGTGGGCGTTGGGCCTGCCGACGTGCCAGCGTGCAGGCCGAGGGAGCTAAGCCACAGGCGGTCCACCATAGTAGTACTCGGAAGCCTGGCAAGGGCTGCTAAATCCGTGGCTGCTAAAATCGACCTCCGGGAAGTTGTCTTCGTCCTTCCGGGAAGAAGCCCGTTGACTGTTTCGCGTGCCGCGCCTCATTCCGGGAAGTTGCTTTCTCCTTCCGGGAGGGCCGTATTAGCAGCCACGGTTTTAGCAGCTTTCGCCCAGCTTTCGAAGTACGACAGGCTCGCGCGCCGTGTCGACTGGTAGCGACCCCGCCGCCGGCGCTTAGCGTTGAACATCGGCGGTGACCCAGAATCGGTCGACGTCGAGCCATCGGACGTTTCGGAAGCGGCCGATCGTGCAAAGTTGGAAGATCCCCTCGGCGTCAGAGACCAACGCCGGGGTCGACACGACACGAACTTGCCGTTTCGCATCCAGGCTATATAGGCTGTCTCAGCCCGCGGAGGGGGACCCGCGAGACCAGGATGGTTGAGGCGGCAATCTCGTGAAAGAGAGCGCCGATCCAAGAAGTCCGTGCGGACCTCCAGAATCTCGTGCCGCTTGTGCAGCTAGCTCTTCCGCCAGAGGACGCAGGGGAGTGCTGGGTGGTCTTCTCCGTGGAACAGTTCGAGCGCTGCGCGGCCAAGGAGGGGGCGCGCGAGGCGCTGGCGGCGGCCGCCGAGGGCGGCAGGGCGATCGCCGTCGCGCCGCCTGGCACCTCGCTCGCCTCGGCGCCCGCGCTCGGCTGGAGGGAGTACTGCGCGGAGTCCTCCGACTGGGTCGTCCGAGAGGGGGCGGGCCTGTCGAAGGTGCAGGGTGCTCGGGGGAGGGCGGGTGGAGTCTCGAGTCCTGCCCAGTGGATGAGGCAGCGCTCGTCTGGAGAAGCGCCCACAAGGGGTCGTCCACCCGGTCTGACCACGTTGGTCGCCGAGACTGCAGAGTCGTCAACTTGGTCCCAGCACTCCGTTCTTCAAGACGGGAGATGTCTCTTCGCCTGGTTTCGCGACGGTTTCGCTTGAGACGTCCTCCTACTTTGCTTGGTGCCTCACACACGTCGCGGATGCAGAACGTGGACAAGAACGTCGTGTAGTGATCACACCTATTGATCGACATGCTGCACTCCTGTGCTAAAGTATAGCAGGCGAAGTGGGTGTGGACATCCGAAGCGCAGAGTGTGTTCGGCCACTGCATCACACGGTGCCACCATCGCTCACATCACTTCATGGTGCTATGCGGCATTGGACTACGTGGTGGCGTTGGGAGAACACTTCTTCTCCCAGCCCAGCCTCTAGTATGGTCTCCCGTATTGGTCTTGCCGACGGCATGGTCTCCAGTATGGCGATTCCCGCATGCTCTCCCGCGTGGTCTCGCCGTTGTGCTGGGCAGTCGATTCCGTTTTCTCTGCGCACTGAACTAGTTCAGAGCGTGAATTACCTACCCCGCTTCCGCCTCCTGGTCGAGCGACCTGACTGGTGCGGGCCGCAGCCTGGTATCGCTTGGTACCTTTTGGAAGCGAGGGTGGTCAAAAACGAGGCAGGTTCGTCTGCCTCCTACCAGTGGGCGAGGATGACAGAAGCTCTCTTCCGCCGTCGGGGGGGGCGTCTGCCCTTCGGGCAGCTGGAAAGCTCACATCCCCGCGGTGCCACCCGGGGGGCAGAAGCGTGCCTGCGGCCATGGGCACTGGCGCCCCCGACGGCGGGAAAGCTCACTGCATGATTACCTCTATTCGCCCGCTTATGGAGTGTGTTGTTCCGGGTCTTTTGCCACCATGAGCCTGTTTTTTTGGACTCTGGCAACTTTACTTGCATGGACGGGGGGGGGTGGCTGCGCCTGAAGCAAGCCGCAAACGACTTGCACGTTCGGGGGGGGCGCGGAAATCACGCAAGTCGAAAGGCACTTGCACGCTAGTATTCGCTCGAAGAGGGGCGAGGGGGGGGGGGGGGGGGGGTGGCGAACGCCATGCAAGTAAACTTGCCTGAGTCAAAAAAAAACAGGCCCGGGGGGGGGGGGGAGTGAAGGAGGGCTGGCCTTCTCGGAAGGCCGCGGGGCTTCTCGGGTGCCCCCCCGGGCCTCCCGAGAAGCCGCCCCGGCGCCTCCGGAGAAGGCCTTCCATGAGAACTTCCCAGGAGCCCAGACCCCCTCGAGTTATGAAAAAATCGCGACGGGAGGTTTTTCATTATTTTTGGCCTTCGGGGGCCCTTGCCGGTCTCCGGGACCGTCAAAAAACGACTCAGGACAAAGAACCGGTCCCGGGGAATGGGTCCAGACCCTTGGGGGTCGACGTCATGAACAATTCCTGACGTCGGGGGTCTGGGAGGCCCGAGGCCTTCCGAGCCTTCCGACAAGGCCCCGCCCCCCGCTGCCTTCCCCCCCTGGGCTCGCCGCCGATGATGTCTACGTGACGCCAGCTTTGCTCCTTCTCCTCCTTGGCGTCGCCCGGACGTGCGATCTTCTTCTCGGCGGTGACCATCGGGGAGCATCTTGGACCATCTTGTGAACAAATACACTCATATCTGGGCTGTCCCTCTAAAGGAGGAAATCTGAAAAATTATAACACACTTAGTCTGGGGACGATTCTTATATTTTTGTTGCGCTTGCACTGAAGGGGTCCTAGCGAAAGTTGGAAGATTTGGCGAAAGTTTCCCGCCGATTTTGGTAGCCGGCTGGGTTCCCGGGTTCCCAGTTCCGGGTTCCCCGTTATTGGTTCCGGGCCGATTTCGGTGGGTTCTGGGTTCCCGGGCTCCCGGGTTCCGGGTCGATCTCCTCAGCGAAAACCATCCACTGATTAAATTTTTCCTTTGGTGCAATTTCTGATTTCTCGACCTACAAGTATGACGCACGGGGCCGACGAATTCACGGGGAAAGTCGACACCCGAGCGACGGCAAAAGCTCCCGAAAAGGTGCAGGCCGCGCGGCTGCCGGCTCGGGCGCGCGTGCTGGCGGCGGGCGCGCCGCGCAGGGCCGAGTACCGCCACTCCTACTTCGAGGCCGGGGCCGAGCTGAGCGGTGCTCCTGGCGTGAAGTCGGGCCTGTCCCTGTACAGGGGGAAGATTCAAAAGTAGCAAAAAAATAGTCAGGAGGCAATTTGTGAGCTCTTTTTATTTATTAACAGCGAAGACCGATAGGTTTCTAATGGGGTCAAAAGAAAGCATCTGATGACTCCCCAGAGGGGGTCTGGGCGGGAGCCGGACAGGCGAGGGTCGGGCTCGTTTTAAGCAAACAGTCACACACTTCGTGCTCTTCGACCTCCCAGAACTCCATTCCCGGGCCACATTTTGAATGCCCGGAGCCAACTGTAGGCGACTTCGTGCTTTTCGATTTCCCAGAACTCCATTCCCGGGCCACATTTTGGATGCCCGGAGCCAACTATAGGCCACTTCGTGTTCTTGGATTTCCCAGAACTCCATTCCCGGGCTACATTTTGGATGCCCGGAGCCAACTGTAGGCAACTTCGTGCTCTTGGACTTCCCAGAACACCATTCCCGGGCCACATTTTGAATGCCCGGAGCCAACTGTAGGCCACTTCGTGCTCTCCCACTTCCCAGAATTCCACTCCCGGGCCACATTTTGAATGCCCAGAGCCAACTGTACGCCACTTCGTGCTCTTCCACTTCCCAGACTTCCAAGACTCATCATCTTCATCATCATCATCGTCCCCGTAGCCTTCTTGGCTACAGCCCTGCTTTCGAAGATTTCTTTTCAAAGGAACTGCGCAGCGCCTACTGCACACCTTAGCCAGGACATGCTGATAGTTCTCGGTCTGGCGGCGGTGCTCCTGACCCTGCTGCGTTGAACAGCGGTGCTCCTCAGCCTGCGGCAGGGAACAGCGCTGCTCCTCAGCGTGCTGCATTGAGCGGTCCTCTGCAAACGCTCGTCGAGCACGTGAAGCAGTTCGGCCGGATACCGAAGCGAAATAAAGGAACGTCCGAACAAGAACGGGCCGAAAACAAGTTGGCCAAACGTTTCTCGGACCATCGCGACCGCATCCCCAAAGACATTTTGCATGAACTGCGAAGCAGTGTTTCTTCTGCTACTACCACTGCTCCCTTCACTCCTACTCGTTCACTCCACACACTACAACTACTACTTCACTGTTACCACTGCTACCACCACTACTACTTCTACTGCTACTAGTACTGTTACTATTACTGCTGCTGCTGCTGCTGCTGTTGCTGCTGCTAGTATAGCTATTGCTATCGCAACTACTGGCAGTGCCACTGCGACTGCCGCTGATGTTGCCATTGCGACTGCCACTGCGAATCCGAATGCGACTGCGAGAACACCAGAATTCTACAACAGCACTCTACATGAATACCACAGGCAATGTTTCCAGCCATGCTTCTACACATCGCTGTTAAGTTGATTTGTCGGGATAATTTATCATTCTTGGGGCAGTTTTGAAGTATTCGTTTTTTATTTTTGTGTCGTCCAACTTCCACCTGTAGGAGGACATGCCCGACCTAACCCTGGCGAGAGCGCAGATCTACTGCACGTAAGAGTGACCCTTCGCCGGAGTGACCTGCGGTGCGGGCCCCAAGGGGCCCCCCCAGCGCCGAGCGCGAGGCGGCGAGCGGCGTCCTGCGCGCTCGTGTTTGGCCCCCCCCGCGGACCCCAAAAAGCCGCGCACCAGAGGTCACTCCTACCCGGGGTCGCTCTTGCGTATCGCCGAGTCGACTTCTTCGAGTCGGGGTTCGCGGCGGCGCCCTCCCTGGCGCGTGTTGCTTTTGTTTTGTTTTGTTTTGTTTTTGTTGGGGGGGTCCTCCCTGGGGAGGCGACTCGCCGCCGCCGCCCCCGTCTCACAAAACGCGGGCCGGGGAGCGACGTGGCGCGGACCGCCCGGGCTGGGCGGGAGGGCCGCCGTCGTTCAAGGGATAGGGAAAGCCACCCGGACCCGATAATGGGCGTTTGCGAAGCGCGGCCTCGGGCGTTTACCCAACAGCCCCGCCCTGTTCGCTTCCTTCTGCGGGTGCGCCCGCAAAACGGTTTCGCGTGTTGGGGTTGATGATTCTTATTGCGGGGGGGGGGAAGTCGGGGTGACTCTCATAGGGGGGAGGGGGGATTCTCCGCCCTTTATTGTTGTCGTTCTGATCCCGCTCCGCGGCCAAGGCGGATCGGGGGCAGAAGGAGGGCACAAGAGGGCACGACGCACGCGGAAAGAGCACCGTTTCGCTCGAGCCCGGGCGCGAGGTCTTCGAGCGGCCCGGCCGGCTCTGGGGGTGCTGCGTGGTGGCGCTGCAGGTGCTGCAGTGGCTGCTGGTCCGCCGCGCGTCCACCAGGAAGCGAGGGCCGCCACGAGGGCGCGAAGCCCTTCGTGGCTCGCGGCTCGCGGATTCTTGCCCATCCTTTTTCCCGCCCTTTTCTCTCCTCCTCTCCTTCTTCCTCCCCTCCTCCTCCTCTCCTCCTCCTCCTCCTCCTCCTCCTCCTCCTCCCCCTGGGGAGCGGCGCGAGAGCGCGACGCTAGCCCCGCCTCGAGAAGCGCGGAGCGCGGGGCGCGAGCATGGCTGCCCCCGAGGAAGCTGTGCGAGCTCGTGGTGGGGGCGATGTCGCGGGCAAAGTGGCTGGCGACGATCACCTGCACGGCTCTGTGCGCACAGGTCGGGCCGGGCGAAAGGGGGGGATTGGGAAAGGGGGGGGGTACGAAATTTGCTGCATGCAGCTGGTTTCGCCCTCACCGAGGGGCCCATTCCTGATACATAGCCGCCTCCGGCGCCGGGAGGCGCCGGGAAAATCAGCTACGTGAGCTGATTCTCAACCCCCCCCTTTGCTATCCCCCCCTTTTCGCCCGACCCGAACAGGCTCTCGTCAGCCGCTGGAAGCAGAGGCGCTCGCGCGGCAAGGCGATCGAGTCCGACATCCTGGGGTCCCAGTCGAGTCAGCAAGAGGCGCGGCTTACCGCGGTGACGATAGCTCTGAAGGCGCTCTCATGGATCGTGTGGCTGCTTTGCGTGATGGCCGTGTTGGGAATCAACATCGGTCGCGTGCTGCTTGTGCCATCAGTCGGCGCCATCTTCCTTGGGTTTTTGGGCCAGGACATCTTCTCCAACGTCCTGAGCGGCCTGGTCGTCTTCTTGACGCAGCCCTTCGCCCAAGGCGACTGGATCACGCTTGAGAAGGGGCAGACCGGGTGGGTGCACCATATTGGTTTGTTCTACACTAAGGTTGTGCTATGGGACAAGCGCCCGCTGTACGTACCAAACGCCAGGCTGATTCAAATGCTCGTCCAGAACAATTCGCGCATGAGCCACAGGCGAATCAGATTCGACATCAACGTACGGCTTAAGGATGTCCCAAAGGTCCCTGCCATTGTCAAGGATCTCCAAGGCATGCTCGAGCAACACCAAGACCTGGACTGCATCCAGCACAAGCTCGTGCGGTGGCGGCAGGTTGGGGACTATTACGCTACAGTGTGGCTTTCCTGCTACACGAAGTCCACCGAAGAGGGCATCCGGACGAAGCACTTCATCGCGGTGGAGCAGTCCGTTCTGGAGCGCACGGCCGCGATCCTCTACAAGCACGGGGCGGACTTCGCGACGTCGCTAGAGCGGTCCACGAGTACGGCGCTCGAGGCCATCATCGTCTGACCCCTAGGCCCCGGAAACGGCAGGGCCGTTTATTTCACCGTTTTCATACAAGTGCTTCGTGAACATAGAGACGGGCGAAAAGCACGGCGACCGGAAACGAGCATTGGAGCCGGAATCGGGAGCAGGAAAGAAAAAGCGACGGAATTCGCAGACAAAAGGCGACGGAAGTGGCAAACGATGGCAAACGGAACCGGTAAAAAACGGCCTTGTCGTTTCGAGGGCCCGCTATAAGTCTGACCCTGCCCCCGGTCCCACTGGGCCATGGTTTCTCAGCCCCACTGGCCCACCCTCCCAGGTGCACGGTTTCCCCCGGGGCCGTAGGCGACCCGAGAAGGAGGAGGAGGAGGAGGAGAAGGAGGAGGAGGAGGAGGAGGAGGAGGAGGAGGGGGAGCTAGGAGGTGGAGGAGGGGGAGGGGGAGGGGGAGATGGAGGAGGAGGAGGAGGAGGAGGAGGAGGAGGAGGAGGAGGAGGAGGAGGAGGAGGAGGAGGGAGGAGGAGGAGGAGGAAGAGGAGGAGGAGGAGGAGGAGGAGGAGGAGGAGGAGGAGGAGGAAGAGGAGGAGGAGGAGGAGGAGGAGAAGGAGGACGGGTCGCCTAAGCCCTTCGGAGGAACCCTCCGCTTCCAGGTGGGTCCAGGCTCCGAGGCGCCGGCAAGAGCAGGCGTAATTATATCCCCGCCTGGTGGGTGAAGTCGGCCCCGTGGGGCCCAGGCCACGCCAGTGGGGATACAGGGATCGGTGATTCGGTGCTCGCGAGGCGGCGGAGGCGGCCGGGCCGGCGAGGTCCAGGGAGGCCGGGCGCGAGGCCAGCGGCGGCGAGCTGCGCGCGCGGGAGCGGGTGCTGCGCGAGTCGCGCGAGGAGGCGCTGCGGGCCAAGGAGGCGAAGGTCCGCGCCACGGAGCTGCGGATCGACGGCCTGCAGGGGGTGCTGGAGGAGCGGGCGCGGGAGCTCGAGGCGCGGGAGGAGCGGCTTCGCGCCGCTCTGGAGCCCCGGGACGACGGCGGCGACGACGGCGACGACGACGGCAACGACGACGACGACGTGACGACGACGACGGCGACGACAACGGCAACGACGGCGACGACGACGACGACGACGACGACGACGACGACGACGACGACGGCGACGGCAACGACGACGACGGCTGCCCCCCCTTCGCCGCTGCTCGTCCTGGAGGGCCCTCGCCGCCGCGGGGCTCTCGGACACATCCTGGCCAGAGCGCGCCCTGGAAGAGCGAGGTCCGGGGAGCAGTGCGGTCTCGGTCTGCCTTCTTGCCCAGAGATCCGAGGATCTGAGCTCGGGGTCGCCTCAGACCCCCGCGGGCCACGAAAAAACATGACGGGCAGTTGTTCGTTACTTTCGGCCTCTGGGGGCCCTCAGCGGCCCACGGAACCGTTAAAAAACGGCTCAGGGTGAAAGTCCAGTCCCAGAACATGTACGGAAACAGATGCTACTGCCAATATCATCATCGCCGCTCCTGGCTAGACGGTCGCTGCTTCGTCGACCGCACACTACATACATACTCCTGGGCTCCTTCTACACGCACGAGATGCCCCCTGGAGAATATTAGCACCGCCGTCGACTGCCATCGCGACTGTCACGACCCCGAAGCACTCCGAGCACATCTTCGCACACACATTCCTCTGTCGCCACGTGGACCTTGGCTCAAAACAGTACCGCGCTCGGCGCGGGCGGCCATACGACACGGTGAGTCGGCCCGACCGCCATCCGTACCAGCGCCAGCCTGGAAGCCTGCCGATACAGCTCACCTTCGACGCGAAGTGCGCCTGGCGGCCGACCGACTACTCGGTGATTCGCACAACACCGAGCGTACAACTACACGAACGAGACGGACTACACCACGTGCGCTGACGCGCACTCAGCTAGGCACTTCGACCTACAGCTCAGCGACTCGCACGACACTCACAGCCACACCTGCACTCCCCCCGCAACCTAGACCACTTCAACCTGAAGATGGCGAGCGCGATCCAGGAGACGCAGGTCAAACCATCGAAGGGGAGAGCAGCTTGGCGCGGCCCCAACCGTCCTCGACCAAGTCTGGCAGCTCTGGCAGCGGCTCCAAAGACGGCGAACCACCAGAGCAACGACCACGCTTGCAAGGGCGCGGAGCAGCACGCCAGGCAGCCGCAGACGACGAGCCCATGGGGATGGAGGAGGAGGGCGACGAACCACGCCGAGCCCGACGCAGAGGCGGACGACGCGCCCACAGAGGCCACCACACGGACAAGAGCTGGACGACCAAAGACATGAATATGCACGCTCTCCTCATGGCCCTGATGACGCTTACCCTACGGAACACTCAGAAGATCAGATTGCTCATGTGCGCCGTGGCCGACACCTGGACGATGGCAGTAACCCATCCGCTTCTCACCCACATCAGCGACGAGTTGGAGGGCTTTCGCAAGCGGGTCCACGGGTTCAAATCCGAACAGAACAAGGAGGCGCTCCAACGCCAGGGCCCGCTGACCCCAGCACTGGCCTTGGCGATGCCGGAGGGCTTTGTCACCTGCGAGGCAGGAGGACGCGTGAAGCAGCAGACCACCGACGACCTCGAGGAATGCCAACCAGCAGACGAGGCCAAGGACCCGACCATCGACGTGGAAACACTCATGGATCAGGTGTCCTTCATCCGAATAGAGAAGACCCACGACTCGAACGTCGCCAAGCTGGTCATGGGAGCGCACGACTGTCCAGCCCGCAAGTTCGTCATCGACGGGCGCCGCGCCCACGGGAAGGCTCGCCACCACGTGGGCCCCGCCCCAGCGGGCTGGATGGAAGAAGAGATCTTAGTCTGGCTGAGACATTGGAGGAAGATCGGCGCATAGTATTTACAGCTGGAGAAACACTTGCAGGTTCGAGCCACCCGACACCAGCACCGATGCCAGCACCACTTGCGTCAGATGCAGACCACACGGCTTCAGCAGAGGATGCTGTACACAGTTTCGACTCCGGGCCCCAAACGCCAGCAGAGTTGCAAGAATTTGAGCATGCTTCGGAAAATGAGTTCGCCGCTGGTGATGAGGCCGCCCGGTTCTTTTTATCATCGCAGCAAGCTGACGCAAGTCCGTCCCCCCGAGCTCGAGCGGCCACAGAAATTAGTCTCCACTCGCCTGCTCCCCTCGCCTGCCTCACACAGACTTCCCCCAATACACCTCTCCCTCTAGCTAAATGTCGTGGCAGGCTTTCTCTTTGACGAGCCCGTCTGGCGCCCTTCCATCGGGCAAAGGTTTCAATGCGAACCGCTCTTTCGTTTATCCCAGGAGCTAACAGCTTGTCTGTAAGGGCTGAGAAGGGGGGACAATATGCTGGCCCCCTCCCAAGAGGACCGCCCCAGAGGAAGGTTAGGGTCATCTCCGCTGTTCCGCTTTGACTGCCCGCTATGGCGAGAAGCACCGTTGCAGCGCACAGCCGCAGAAGGCGCGAGGCAGCACCCCCTCGACCGCGGGAGGGCCGCTGCAGCGACGAGGACTACGCTACACTCTTTTTCTAGGCGTTCCCGACATGTCGGCCGAGGCTTCTGCGTCGGTCGGGGCGGCGGGGGCGCCCCGCGTGGTCTAGTCCATCGCAGCCGACCTGGAACGTTCCGAGGCTTTCTTCGCTCCCATGTCGTCGTAAAAAGTCCAGTCCCAGGGAATGGATCCAACCCGCTGGGGGTCCACGCCGTGACACTTTCATAACGTCTCCGAGGGTGTAATCTTTTCAGTCCGGCATGGTTTCCTGGATTTCGGCCTCCGGGGCCCATCGATCGGGCTTGTAGAACCCGCAACATGTAGAACCCTCAACAACAGATCCGGGACGACAGTGATATTGATATACCACGCGGGGAAGGGGTCGCGGGGCCGCCTCGGGGCCGCGGATCGACAAGATCCTATGTGGCGGGCGTTTGGGCTTGCGGCTGCACGCGAGGGCGAGTGACCTTTGGCCGGAGGGGCCGCCGGGGTGCGGTCACACCGGGGGTCCCAATGTGGCGGAAGGCGATGTGGCAGCAGCGGCTTCTGCGCTGCAGGGCTCCCCCCCGCGCCCAACGGAAGTTGCGCACCAGAGGTCACTTTTGCCTCCCAGGCCCCCGGCGCCGTGAATTTTTGCATGACGTCGACCCCGGCGGTCGGAACCCAAGCATTTATCGCAATCGCGGCCGCAGGGGCTTTGCAGAAGATGTTGCGGGTGGGAGGGTGGGGCGATTGCGCGAGCAGTGGAGTTGACAACCCATGAAGTGGCAAAAGTTAAAGACCCCCCTGGTCATCACCCCATCCTCTTCCCAGACCCCGACTTCATGATCTTTGCATGACGTCGGCCCCTGGCGTGATCCGGACCCACTCTTTGGGACCCGTTTCTCGTCCCGGGTCGTCGTTTGACGCTTGAAGGTCTCGAGGGCCGGAAAGGGCCCCCAGAGGCCGAAAACGCCGACTACACGTCAGAGTGGCCTTTCGCCAGAGTGACCTTTGGTGCGGACCCACCGAAGTCGCCCGATCGCCGAATCCGATGCGGTAGTAGCGCCTTTCGCGCTTGTGCTTGGTCCCCCCGCGCCCCCCCAAAAAAAACCGCGCATAGTACAGGTCGCTCTGACCGGCCGCTTATAGCCGCCGAAAGCAGCGAAAACCCTCCCGTCATGATCTCGTGCATGACCCCACTGGACGTGGACCCCCAGCGCTCTGGACCCATTCGCCGGGACCAGTTTTTCATTCTGGGTCGTTTTTTGACGGCCCCGATGGCTGGCAAGGGCCCGCAGAGGCCGAAAATAGCGAAAAACTCCCCGACATGACTGCTTCATGACCCGAGGGGGTCTGGGACCCGCGGGGTCCGTGGCCCCGCTCTCGCGTGCAGCTGAGGCCCCTGACCCCCCCACCACCCACGGCAGGAGCTCCGCGCCGCCGGGCTGGAGGGCGGCCCCGGCGAGCCAGAGGCCGACCAGCCGCAGGTCGGGGGCGTGCAGAGGGGGGAGGGAGGTCGGGGGCGGAAAAAAGGGGGGTGATGACTGGGGGGGGGGGGGACATCATGGCGGGGGCCATGATATCTCCCCAGATCTTACGGCGCCTCTTCTTATTTCACTACGTCCGTGGCCCCCCCGCTGGGCCGCGCACGTGCCGCCGGTCGTGATTTGCACCCCCCCTCTTGGACACCCCCCTTTTGGCCGCTCCCGAGGAGAGGGGCGTCCAAGAGGGTAGGGGGATCAGCGAGAACAACAGAGCCCCCAGCCCGAATCACACGAGGCAGACGTGGCCTCACTTAGGCACCCGCCTTCGCATTCGGGGGATGAGAAGTCTGGGCGGCTCGGTTTGATGCATCTGCAGAAAAAGATCCCCTATCCCTGATGTTGCCGGCCATCCTAACTTAGGTCCCCTCCCACAGGGTTAGGGGTCCTCTTATTCTCTTGCAGCACATCTGTGCTCTAGAGCTCGGAACGCTTTATTTTCGTCGTCGTCGTTCGTAGTTCGTCGTTCGTCGTTCGTCCTCCCCCCCTGGCCACGGAAGGAAACTCCTGGAGGCAGGAGGCGAAAGCCTCCTGTCCCTCGCAGCTCCTTGGTGCAAGAGCCAGGGCACGCGTGCCACTTGTTGCTCATCAGGAGAGGGGGGGGAGGCAGAGGAGAAGGAGGAGGAGGAGGAGGAGGAGGGGGAGGAGAACGGAGGAGCAGGGAGGAGGAGGAGGAGGAGGAGGGAACTGACGGACCTGACTATGTTAAGTCCGTCAGAGGACTTGCTCGGCGCGCGGCCGTCGGGCCCGCCCCGACCCTAGGGGGGACCGCAGCTCCATCCAGGTTCTCTACGGGACGGACGGGGGCCCCAAGGATCCGAAAACCAACACGGAGAGGAAGGGCCCCGCAGAGAACCCCCCCACGAAGCTGCTAGCCCCCCCCCCCCCCCCCCGAGGCCACTCGGGCCTTCCGCGGCTCACGCAAACTCGTTTTCGCGAGCCGCCACCTTGCCGTTCTTCTCGACCTCGTCGAACGGGCGTTCACACAATGTTTGCCCTTTGCCGTTCTTCCCGCCCTCGCCGAACGGGTTCGCAAAATTGCTTCACGTACACATCGCCAGCCTCTGCTCCTGCGCCCTCTCCGCTTTGAGGAACGTTTCACGGTTGTCGCTCAGCGAGCCCTCGAAGTCTTCGTAGTTCTTGATGAAGGTGGGGCCGTTGTTGTCCACGTCGAACTCCGCCTCGTTGTTGTGCCATTGTGCCCAGCCATCTGCAGACTTGAACCCGTCGTCCGCCATGCTGAACACTTCCAGGCTGATCTTAGATTTGTCCTGCTTCAGCGGGCTCGGCGTCACCTCGCCCGTCTGATTGCCCTCCATTCGCTTCAACCGGCGCCCCTCCTCCTCTGTGAACATCCGAGGGATCGAAGGTCGAGTTGAAGCACTCCCGGTAGCTCTTGAAGCCCTCCTGGTCGTCTTGCGAGTCCTCCTCGTCGCAGCTGAGCTCAAGGAGCGCACCCGCTCCTCCCTCTTGCGCTTCTTGGCTGATTGCTTATTTTTCTTCTTGGCCTTTGGTCGGTCCACATCCGTGTAGATCTCCACATCCTCCGAGGCTTCTTGGTTCTGCGGCTGAGCACCCTCCGCCTCCTCCGAGGTCACTTCCCCCTTGACCTCCGGAAGCGGTGTGCTCGCCGGTGCAGGCGCCGAAGATGGCCCTGGCGGAGCTGCAGCCGGAACTGCAGCCGACTCCCTCTTGCCCTGGGCCTCCCCCAGCGTGTTGGACCACTCGTCCAGGTCCTTCGTCGCCTGGTCGAGCCCCAGGGGCGGATAGGAAGGCGGCCGCGGTGTGCGGGACGGCGCCCTCGCTCCCCCCCACTCGCAAGGAGGGCTCGTCCCTCCCCCAGAGCCCCGGTGGCATCTCCGAGACCGAGATCTCCCGCGTGATCCCGTACCGGAAGAGACGCCTCGCCGCCGTTCTCGATGACGGCATCGCCTTGGGAGGCACTGGCGGCACGTGCTTCGGTGTCGCGCCCGCGTACCTCCCTGGTGGAGTTCGTGCCTGCCGCTCGCCAGCCGTAGAGGTCATCGCAGACGTTGACCCTCCGCTTGCTGAAGGGCGAGCCCACCTGGGTCTCGATGTCCAAGAAGAGCTTGCCGAGAACAGCTCCAGCACCTGGCCTCTGGGCCGTGCTGAAGCCAACGTAGAACTCGCACTCCCTGTTCATGTCTCCATGGCTCGGCAGCGCTGCGCCGCTGCGAAGTGCGCGCTGCCACCGCTCCCCCTGACCGCGCGGCGGCTAGGAGGAGGAGGAGGAGGAGGAGGAGGAGGAGGAGGAGGAGGAGGAGGAGGAGGAGGAGGAGGAGGAGGAGGAGGAGAGGGAGGAGGACAGGGAGGAGGAGGAGGAGGAGGAGGAGGAGGAGGAGGAAACAAACAAATGCCTACTACCAAATCTTTGTCATAACGCGCGAGAGGTCGGGGGCGGTCGGGGCTCTTCTGACCCATGTCAATGCAGACCCGGGTCAGTCGGGCCTTGCAAGATGCTGCAGGCTCCTGCAAGATCCTGCATCCAAACCCGGGCCAGTGCGAAGGATCCGGCAAGATCCTGCAGGATATCCTGCGCCCAAGCTTGGGTCGGTGCGACCCCGGCCCTGCAGGATCCTGGGCAAGGTCGGGCGCTCTGGCTGACCCGCGTTTGCACTGGACCCCCGTCTCTTGAGCTCCGGGGCGGGCGCTGCATCCCAAGCCCAAGGGGCCCTCGCGGCCTCGCAGTGCCGAGCCACGGGGCCCGCAGCGAGCCCGAGAGCCCACTGGGGCTCGCTCACAGCCCGTGTTGGCGTGCTGGGCACCGAGGGGGGGGCCCGTGGCCCCCCCGCGCACGGAGGGTACCGAGGGGCGCCGCAGCTCTGGGCGCGAGGGGATCGAGCACCGAGGGCTCCTCCTCCTCCTCCTCCTCCTCCTCGCTCCTCCTCCTCCTCCTCCTCCTCCTCCTCCTCCTCCTCCTCCTCCTCCTCCTCCTCACTCCTCCCTCTCCTCCTCCCCCTCCCCTCCCTCCCCCCCTCCTCCTCCTCCTCCTCCTCCTCCTCCTCCTCCTCCTCCTCCTCCTCTCTCTCGTTTCCTCCTCCCCCTCCCCCCCCCTCCTCCCTCCTCCTCCTCCTCCTCTCTCCCTCCTCCTCTCCTCCTCGTTCCTCCTTCTCCTCCTCCTTGTTTTTTTTTCTCGTCGCCCACATGCCTCCGGCCAAGACTTGCGAGCCCCCCTCCCGGACGCCTCCCTCCCGGACGCCCCCGGGCAGGCGCTGGACCGCGCCGCCCGCGGGGAGGCCAGCGGCGCGGGCGCCGCCGCGGCCGAGGGCGCCAAGCTGGAGCCAGAGCTGCGGGCGCGCGCGCGGGGCTGCTCGAGGAGAAGGAGGAGGAGGAGGAGGAGGAGGAGCAGCAGCAGCAGGAGGAGGAGGGAGGAGGAGGAGGAGGAGGAGGAGGGAGGGGGAGGGAGGAGAAGGAGGAGGAGGAGGAGGAAGAGGAAGATGAGGAGGGTGGAGCAGTCGGCACAAAAGCCCGAAGAAAAAGCAGCATCACCATCAATTGGGCCTCGCTCGGACGTGTGCGTTTCTTCTCGGCGAGGACCATCGATGAACATCTAGGATCATCTGGCGAAAAAGACGCGAGCTAAACCGACAAATGCATTGGGAGTGGACGCCCGAGCGATGGCGAGTAATTAAGCTTTCGACGCTCAGCGCGGACCGTCGGAAGGTTTCTGTTTATTGCTTTCCTCTTTCTAATCTAAAAGCATGAGTCGCCTCGCCTGCGAGGATCGAAGGAGCTGGCGTCGCTTTCTCGGCGGAAGGTCGGCGGAAGAAAAGCGAGGCCGGCTCCGCCGGCGGAAGGGCGGCGGAAGCCGGCGGAAGCAGAAGATGCGCCGCCAAGGGACGGCAGCGTCTTTGGGCTCCGGGTTCCCCGGACCGCTCCAGTTATCAGCGCTGGCCTCCGTGGAAATATGGGGCAAGCGCTGGGGAATGTTCGGGAAGAGGAGAAACACGGAGACACGTGGAGCGATGGCGGATCCTGGGCTCTGTGCCGATGTACTTGTGGCTGCGTCGGCGCAGGGCGGGGCGGAGCCGGCGCCGGGCGACGCGCTGCAGGCGATGGAGGACGAGGTCTCCGAGCGGAGCCGCGCGGCGGACACGCGAAGAAGAAAGTAGGCCACGCGCAGAAGGAGGTGGGGGGAGGGGGGAGGGCTTATCTTAGAAGCACCCCTGCTTCTCACCCAGACCCCATGAGGTCATGGAAAAGTCATGGCGGCGGGTTCTTGGCTATGTTCGGCCTCTGGGGGCCCTTACCGGCCCACGGGACCGTCAAAAAACGATTCGGGATACAAAACCAGTCCCGGGGAATGGGTCCAGACCTTTCGGGGTCGACGTCATGAATTATCCCAGTGCGACCCTACCTAGGAGTTTGAACCCCTAGGAAAGCAGCATTAGTAGTAACAGTAACGCTAAGCTGAAGCTGAGCTAAAGCTAAGCTACAACTAAGCTAAAGCTAAGCTACAGCTAAGCTAAAGCTAAGCTAAATCGAAGCTAAAACTAAGCTAAAGCTAAGCTAAAGCTAAGCTAAAGCTAAGCTAAAGCCAAGCTACAGCTAAGCTAAAGCTAAAGCTAAAGCTAAAGCTAAGCTAAAGCTAAGCTAAAGGCTAAGCGAAAAGCTAAGCGAAACGCTAAACTAAAGCCAAACTACAGCTAAGCTAAAGCTAAGCTAAAGCTAAGCTAAAGCTAAAGCTAAAGCTAAAGCTAAAGCTAAAGCTAAAGCTCCCAGGGGACTGGGGGGAACCGCTCCCAGGGGACTGGGGGAACCGCCCGGGGCGCTTTGCACTGCCCGGCCCCTTTAAGCTAAGAGAGTAAGAATCCTTCTAGGCAGAGCCTAGGTAGGGAAAAAGTCATGACGTCGGAGATCTGGGCAGAAGGCGCGGGCATCATCTATAGATGCAGGGCCGGCGCCTTCTCAGAAGCAGCCTCTTTCCCATTCTGAGAATACTTCCCCCCTCCCCCTACGCCCTTGCGCATGCCGCCAAGCACGAGCATGAGCTGCCGACGCCAATCGACGCTAAATCGGCGCTACCGCATGGCTTACCAGACGTTGATCGGCGCTGGTGCACTCCAAACTCGGGACGGTGTGAGGGCATGCGAAGCGTCCATATGATTTGATAACGAGAAAGCGGCGTGAGCACGATCTTTCGGGCGTCAATCGGATCTTTCTTGGACCGGCGCTGGGGCGCACACGTGGTGGCGCCTCCGGCGCCGGCCCTGGCGCGCTCCGCACGCCAGGATCAACTGCACGCAAGAGTGACTTTTCGCCGGAGTGACCTTTTGGTGCGGGGTCCAATGGGCCCCCCCGATCGCAGAACGCGATGCGGCAGTGGCGTCTTGCGCGCTGGTGTTTGGCCCCCCCGCGGCCCCCAAAAAGCCGCGCGCCAAAGGTCACTCTTACCCAGGGTCCTGCTTGCGCGTAGTCGACAGGAGGGGGAGCCCAGCGCCGATCCAAGCCAGCTGTGCAGAGCTCCGAGAGCTTATGCTCATGCCGCTTCTTCTTCTTCTCCCTCTAGGACAGGCGGCTGCAGGAGCTGAGCCGGAAGAGCAAGGAGCTCAGCAGGATCGGGCATTGCCTCACGGGGGGGAGAGGGGCGATAAATGAAGGGGGGTCCCAGGGGCCCCAAAGGAGCCCCCGAGGACCCCAAAAGGGACACGAACGGTTGCCGCTTTTGCCGCCGCCCCCCACCCCTCCCCTCCTGCCCCTGTTATCGACCCCCCAGTTCCGCCTATCCCAGGGCCCTGGGAATGCAACGCAACGCGAGGAGACAGGTGGTTCGTTGATCATCGGCTGGCCGCCTCCCTCGCCCCTCCCCCAGGAGCCCCCCCCCCCAAAAAGGTGCGCTGGGGAAAAAGCCATGGATAAATGGCGGGGGCGGGGGAAGACAGGTGCACCTCTTGTGCACGCTAGGGGGCCCCCATGGGACCCAACAGGGGCGCGAAAGGTGCCCGTTGCTGCCGCTGCTTCTCATCCCAGGGCCCCGGGAGTGCAGCGCGAGGAGACAGGTGGCTCGTTGATCCTCGGCTGGCCGCGTCCTTCTCCCCTCCCCCCCAGGAGCCCCCCCGCTCCAAGAGGGTGCGCTGGGGGACGAGTCGACGAGCAAAGGATCGCCCCCCCCCCCCGATGCAGCCGTGCCCCGGGCAGGAAGGGCGAGGGCCTGGAGCGCGCCGCGCAGGAGGGCCTCGGCGCGGGGTGACCCGGGGGGGGGGGCGACGGCGCGCGCGCCGGGGCCCCGCGGGCGGCGGGCCCGGAGCGCGGGAAGGCGAGGGGCACCGCCGGCGGCGGCGCGCAGGCGGCCTGCGGCGCCGCGGCCCCTCGCGGGCGCCCCGCGGGGGCACCGCGGCCGCGCCCTGGCGGGGACGCTGGCCCTCGCCGCGGCGGCACGGCGTGCGGCGCGGCGGCCCTGGCGGCGCGCCAGGTGGGCGGCGCGCCCCGGCGGCGGCGGCGGCCGCGGCGGCGGTCGTTCACGCTCTCCTCGGGCCTGCGCCGAAGGCCCGACATAGGGGGGGAGGCTCAAGTCGGGCCTGTCCCTCTACAGGGGGAATACTGAAAGATAGTCTTATGATGTTCCAACCTACTTTAGCTTGGATCGCCAGGAAGACCCTCGAGCGCCAGAAAAGCATCCCCAAACTCTAGGATTTTCACGTGTCGGGCCCTGGGAGACACTCGTCCGAGGTACGATGGGAGCAACATAAAGATAGTCAAGCAATAGTCTGAGGACTATTTTTTACAATTGTTGAGCATTTGTGGGGCATGTGTTTGGTATTTTCGATTTTTCGTCCAAGATCGGCCTGTAGGGACAGGCCCGATTTAAGGGTAGGCGTAGTCAAGCAGTGGCGAAGCGTGCTGACCTGCTGCTAGGCCCACCAAGGAATGTTCCAAGAAGCTATATCGTGGGTTGCACGAGATGTTCTCCGAACAGGTCTGGCCGAGACGGTCTTGTGTTAATAAGTACTTCGATCGTTTGCTCTAGGAACTATGCTTTCTGTGATTCGATCTCATGCTTGGTTATGATAACATGTCGTGGTAGGCCTATAAGAATACCGGAACGGTCGGTCCCTGCTCAACATCTGGGGGGGAATGCACCGACCCCGAATCGCCCATTGGTCGCCGATGGGGGTCTGATAGACCCGCTCCGCCCAAGAGCGCGCGGACTTGCTGTCGGGGGCCTATCGCCGATCTGTCGTTGATGTACCACCGATTCCACGTCGATGCTTCCCCCCCCCAGGCCAGTCCCCCCCTATTGTTAAGTCGGGCGTGTCCCTCTACAGGAGGAATATTCAAAAATAGTAAAAAAATTGCCAGGGGACGATTCTGGGAACCCTTGTTGATTATTTTTGAGTAGGTTTTGAATTTTAACGCTTTCCCTCCTAAATCCGCCCATCGGGGGACAGGCCCGACCGAACCCGATCGCTGCCCCTCGGAAGGGCGGCTTCCCTGGAGGCCGAGGCCGAGGCACCCGCGCGCGGGCGGAGGAAAAGGCGCTCCCCGGGCGCCCTCTTGGGCGTCTCGGCACGGCGCTCGGCACGCAGGCGGGCGGCGTAGAGGCCTGGCGCGGCGCAGCCGCCCAGGCGCGTCGGGGGTGGGCAGACCTCCGACCCGGACACGTCGATCTAGGAATCGGCCGCTTTCGGTTCGCGAGAGGGCGTCGCGGCCGTCCTTTTTGCGGGTCCGGGTCCGTCGGCTTCGGTCCCACAGGCCGTTCTCACCGAGGGGAGGGCTTGCTGCCGGGAGGCGTGTCCACCGCCGAGCGCGGGCCCGCACGTGCCGAGCCGGCGCGCGGCGCGCCGGCACGGACGTCTGGAGCGCGGCACGCGCGGCGCCTGAAAACGGGAGCTATATCGGGGCAGCCGAGCCCTCGGCCTGCACCTTCCGCACCCTCCGCGCGGAAGGCGCCGCCGCGATGCGGCCGCCGCGGCCGCCGCTGCGGCCTCGACGGTGGCCGCCGCGATGCGGCCGCCGCGGCCGCCGCTGCGGCCTCGACGGTGGCCGCCGCTGCGGCCGCGGCGGCGGCCGCGGTAGCGCGGCACCTGCCGCGCGGAAGGTGTGCAAGGTGCAGGTCGAGGGTCATCGTTCAGGGTGCAGCGCCTGGGAGGTCCAGTTCGGAATCGGCGGTGGCGCATCCCTGGTCGGACACCTGATCCGGCGACATCCTGCTGAGTCCGGCTTCGTCCCGCTCAGCCCGGCGCAAAACCCGCGCAGTCCGGCGCGATCCCGGACTCCATCTGGCCTGCTGCTGCCCAAAACCCGCGCAGTCCGGCGCGATCCCGGACTCCATCTGGCCTGCTGCTGCCCAGAGGCCCCCTCATGTTGGCCTCGTCGCGCGCAGTTGCTTCGGCGAGGACCTCCCAGGAGCCGCCTCCCGACATCCCGTCGCCGCCGTGTTTCGGCAGTGAGCCCTGCTTGTGCAGGCCCCACCGCCGAGCACGCCCACAAGCAACTGGGCCAGCGCGAGAGGGGGGGCAGGCTCGTGGGGCGAGGGGACCGGCTCGTGGGGCGAGGGGACCGGCTCGTGGGGGGGGGGGGGGGGGGCTTTGGGCCTCGGCCCCCCGACGTTCATGGCCCTCCAGGGCCCTTGCATCCTTACCGCGCGTCCTTGTTATGCCGATGCGCCTTCTAGGCGAAGCTTTCCCAGCTCTCTGCGGGGCCTTCGGCCATCGCATGCCGCGGCGCCAGCGTGGTCAGACAGCCGAGACGGCAGAGGCAGCCGAAGCAGCACAGCAGCGGCAGGGGAGATAAGTCTACGAGGGGGAGGAGGAGGAGGAGGAGGAGGAGGAGGAGGAGGAGGAGGAGGAGAAGGGAGGAGGAGGCAGTAGGGAGGAGAAGGAGGAGGAGGAGGAGGAGGAGGAGGAGGAGGAGGAGGCGTAGGAGGAGGAGGCATCTGCCAGGCAGCAGAAGAAGGCAGCCGCAGCGGCGGCATCCGGCCGCCAGGAGATGCGCGAGCTCGGTTCCATCCCGGAGGACCAGCGCAAGCCGCAGTACGAGTACATTCTGGCTACGCTTAAGAGTGACCCCTCGCCCGCGTGACCTCTGGTGCGCGGCTTTCGGGGCGCGATGCGGGGCCGAGCTCAAGCACGCAGGCCGCCATTTGTCGCACCGCACGCAGCGACTGGCAAACCATGCACCACAGGTCACGCTTGCGTAGGTCGCAGGTCTGGCGGGCCTAGAATCGAGATACATCCATTCCAGAGCGTTGCGGAACGCTCTCAGAGCGCTCCGGAACGCTCTGAAACGGCCGCGGCGCCCGGTTTCGCATCTCTTCGATGTTTTCTCGGTTCTGCCTTCGACCAAGTGGGGCCATTCTTACCCGTAGCCGGCGCATGCACACGCCCGACCGCATACCTTGAGCGGGCGGAGGGCCCTCCCTTGGGTGGCCGCGCGGGTCCGCCCGCCGGCCGCAAGGAGCGGATGGCGGCGCGCAGTGGCAAAGAGCGGCAGCCTGCGGAGACTGACCCTCCTCCTCCTCCTCCTCCTCCTCTTCCTCCTC